TGAAGGCTTGAAACACAAGAGTCAGGGTGGCTTCTGGGTAATACCAGATGGCTAGGCCTCAGACTGACGAAGCCTCTTGGATGAGGGGCGAAACGTTTCTTTTTAACAAAAAAAACGAAGTCCAGATGACATGATTCAACCTTTTTTGTTGTTATATACCTGGATGACTGAGAAAACAAACTTTGTGTTTTTGAAACCATTAGTGAAAAGGCCAGACTTCAGGGGTATCTGAGGCAGGCTTGAAACACAAGAGTCAGGGTGGCTTCTGGGTAATACCAGATGGCTAGGCCTCAGACTGACGAAGCCTCTTGGATGAGGGGCAAAACGTTTCTTTTTAACAAAAAAAACGAAGTCCAGATGACATGATTCAACCTTTTTTGTTGCTAAAATAAATTGTTAAAAAATGAACAAAATGGGTTTAATCTGAGCAATAATTAAACAATAATTTAAAACCTATCAGAAACCCAGAGGAACTCACCTAGTAGAGGCAGAAATAAAAGAAATTGTGAATTAATCATTGACAAACCTTCAACTGCTGCTTCAGCAGACTATTTTAAAGAAAAAGACGCTAAAAAAAACTACAACTTTTTAGATTAGTTCTCAGCATTTTAGGCGTTTATTTGAAAAACACATACAAAAAGATCATATACAAGACAATAAATAAAAAAGAGACAGAACAGTTTGGGTTAAGCTATGCAACTTTTTGCATCATCATTAGTAATAAATACAGTACAAAATCCACCCAGAGTGAATCCAAAGATATTTTCCACCATATTCATTGATCATGTTATTCTTCATTATGATTTAGCTATTGCTTTCATATTATTGATACATACTTCTACATTTCTATAAAATAGTCAAGATCATAAAACATTGCGCAGTTACAGCAAAACAGCAGTGTGTTGTACAAAGATGGCCACTTCCCTTTTTCACTGGCAGGTTAAAAATCAACGTTTTTTTTCAGCAGCAAAGAAACATCTGAAATTTTCAAGAAGGTACAGCATCATATTAAACACATCTACAGAGCTACTCCCACATACACATAGGAAAACCTGAGAAGGACATGCATTAAAAAGCTTGTGCTTTGAGTTTCTACTGTTCATTCCGGTTCATCAGCTTGAGTTAATACTATGGCTACGGTCCAGTTCAGTCTGGAGTTACGGCGGTTACACTGTGGAAAAGGGGGGCGTGGGGTAAGGCCAGTGAGAGCACGAAATGAAATAATAGTAAGACCAGTCAGCCTTGATCCAATTCGGTACAAGTTAGAATCATTTGCAGGATTAGTAGCGTATTATTAGGAAATGCACACCAAAAAACGTAGTTAGCTTATCATACCAAGGTGTGAAACGTCTATATTGTAAAACCACAGTACACCAGAAGTTTGCTCAAAAAGTCAATGGCTCAAGTTAGCATGTTAGACAAGTCCCATAAATCCCACACAGCCAGCAACATGTAGGAACAAACACTTCTCATGTGGTTCATAAAGTATTAAGCACTAAAATGTGATCTGGAGTGAATGAAGACGGAGAGCATAATAAAACAAGAAAGAAATCAAATGTGAGTTATTGTGACAAGCAAAGCTATTGTATACAATGAAAAGCAAACTAAGACAAACAGGACGGTACCCTGACATCTGCTTCTGAAGAAAGCAGGAGTGATATTTAAAGGAATAGGTCAGATTTTTCAAAGTGTGGAAAGATTATGAACAGTTAATATCTTACCTGCTATAGGTTTCTTTTTGAATGGCCTCAGGCTAAAGAAACATGCTGATTGGATTAACAAGCCAATGAATAGTCTGAATTAGACAAAGGCCAATAAGTGTAAAATTACTTCAATCTAAAAAATATATTTTATGGCAGTTCATGCAAATGCTACTTCATGAAACATTTACATTACATTCGGTTTCTCATTAAACGGTTATTCCAGAAGAAAAGTTTGGACATTCCAGCAGGAAGGCTGCACCCAAACTGCTGCAACTTGTTGCTGCTAGTTGTCTTTACAAATACACAAATTGACTAAAGTAAAGTTGACAGCAATGTAAAATTTACAGGGTAATTTGCATAAGCTGCATTGCTAATATATGAGACTGACATCGTAGTTATAGCTCCTGCTAAATGGAGAAGGTGGAAGGGTGAGGGTGCAAACTTGTGTTTTTAATCCCTTGTTTATTTATTTATTTATTTTTTTTACATTAAATCATATCTTCCTTCAAGACAAAAGCATGCAGTGTTTATGGATTCTATTAACTTCCTTGGTGAGAAAGTAAAATATTAAAACATTTGCTACATTCTACACCCCCTCCCTCACCTTTGCATCAGCTGAGCAACATTAGATGCAAGCTCTCTCTCTAGCAAGATGTAGAGTTGAAAAATTAAGCAAACTCTTTGTTTTTTTACTTTGAAAGCATCTTTGACTGGCTATGAATTTAGAATTATTTAGGAGTGCAATACATGGGCAAGTTTATACATATAAATCTATTCATCCAGATTTTATTTTGAAATCTTCCCAGAGTTCATTGCAGGTGATTGTTATGGGGTTAAACAAACATCCAAGCTAAGCCCAAAAGTGAAAGTTTTGAAAATGATTTACATCGGGTTTCATATTTAAATAAAGCGTGGCCACTACTTGATTGAAAATAAACTTTACATTATTTGATCTCTAGTTTCCCACGTGAAAGTGTGTCGCATTTACACCAACTAAGCATGACTCAAAGGACTATCAGCCTAATCCTCAATCCCATTTTATTTATAATCAGGTGCCCACGATGGCAGTAATCCACTTTGGTCAAGACCCTGTTTAGACTAGTCATTAACTCATCAATCCACTCCAAATGAAATAAACAATTCCTCTAAACTGAGTTATCTCCAACAGGTAGAATACTAACTGTGCACAACCTTTCCACAGAACCCCACTCCAAAAAGACCCGAACCATCACTTTAACAAATAAAACATGAAAAAATCAAATCAAATCAAATTAAGAGATGACATGAGTGGAATGTAATCTAGATCAACAGCACCATGCTGGCTAGGAAACGTGTTGGGAAACACCCCGCAGTCAGTTTCAACAGATTTTTCTCCTTTGTAAAAGAAAACACAGACGGCATGCACAAGCATCCCCACCAACCAATGCATAATGAGGTATTTTTTTAGTATTTTGTGTTATTTTAAATAAATATATTGATTAAATTGCAAAGTTATGAGATAGACATTAAATATTCCACCACAATAGCTAGCTAGCTACAGTTAGTAATAAATAATGATTGTTAAATACTTAAGGCATCTTTAATCACAGCATTCTATGTGAACTAGCAAACCTCCATTTTCATCTTTACGCAGTTTTTTGGTTGGAGGTTTTATACAAAAGTTAAAAATTAAATTGCAACACAAACAGTCAAGTTACCCTCCAAAAGTACACAAGGAAGCATGGAAATATTTTGAACTGAATAAAAACACAAAATCTAGGACAAGAAGTTTCCACACCACCAAACCAAAATATCAGGCAACTCCATATTATAGTGCATTTACAAAACACAAGCTACATCGGAACAACGGTAAATATGTTTTTTGCAGCATTGCAGCTTCTTCTTCACTATGGTTAACCTGGACAAGGTGTGTTGGTACCATGTCCGAATTGGCAGGTGAGCAAAAGGAATAAAATACGTAGGCAATATCTTTAAAAAAAAAAAAAAAAAAAAAAAAAATGGCTAAAAAGAGACGTTTGAAATAAAAATGCTAACAGTTGTTTGGTTGTTTTTTCAAATGGATGGCTTTTTCTCCCTTTCACCCTCCTTCAAGTGAAGTACGCCAACATGGGTCATGCATGATACAAACAGCTTCTATCACTGAACATTTCACAGTTCTAGTAATACCATACACAAGCACCATGAGGGGAAACAAAAGAGCGGGAGGGGCGGGGGGGACAATCATACACATTCTAGCACGTTTCACAGGCAAACTAGTTTGTATTTTCCCTGTAACACCAAACACAGTTTTTATCAAACAGCTGGAGCAACTTGGATTAAATGAGATACACAACGGAGGAGGTTAGAAAAATTACGTGTGCTTGTTCGATAGGCAAAAAGGTTCTGGTAACAATAAAAATGTCACTCCGATGGCAAGACTCAGGCGCCGCATCCTCAAACCCATGCTGGCCTCTGGTGATCGAGCGAGGCCACATAGAGGCGTTGCCGTTAGACACAAATCCGCCTGCAGCTCTCTGAATCCTTTTTTAAGCGTCACACTGGTGTCGGATCGGCGTCTAAGGGCAGCTCTAATCTACTCAGGGTGATTGGGGAAAGGGTACGTGGGCGCATTCTTCTCCTCTATGAATGAGCGGGATCATAATATCACAGATCACATGCACAGACACGGTCCCTGCTTCTAAACTGCTCCACAATATCAAGTACACAGCCCAAGCCTGCCGTACAGCATGCACATCCGAGGCCCCTGCTCTACGCCACAGAGGCCCGACTACGACACTACACACCACTGAAAGCCATGCCTGCAGTTTAGCAAATTAGCATCAACTCTGATGGCATCTACTAACTGTAAATCCATGTTAAGACATGACAGAGGATCTTTTGGCCCTTTTTTTGTCTTTTTCTTACTTTACTCTTAGTCTCGATGCATGTGGTTTAACAAGCTGTGTTCACCCTTCTTTGTAGGCTTATTTTTTTAACAAGTATTTCTCAAAAGGCTTTTGCTTTGCTACACAACACTGTTACTCTGTAAATACTTAGTCAGTACCATGACACCACAAGCGTTCAGCTACAAGAGTTCACACCACACAACCTCATGCTAGTCATTTGATAATGTTCTGTACAGATGTGCTGAGTGAGGGCTTGGACAGAGTGCAGCTTAAAGGATTTTTCACAGGCCTTGGGGGGGGGGGGGGGGGGGGGGGGTGGGTGGATTGGCTGAAAATAACGGCCCTAATACACCACACTGAGCTAGGAGGTTGGTACTCTCTTTGTGGCCGTATGGAGAAATGTGCACAGGGGTGCACAATCTGACAGAATCGTGTGAAGCCTCAGCACATCTGTCCATACATTTCCTACTGTTTGCATCCAATAAAGTCCACTCGGCTGACCTTCCTGTATCTGTGCATCAACCCCCCCTCCCCCGGTCATCTCGCTTTGTGTTGTACGTGAGTGTGCTTTGTTGATCCCTCTGTAGCAGCTGTCTCAGAAGGCAGGCTCTTTGAGTGATGCGGGAGGAAGGGAGGGTGTTTGGCAGAGCTCCCCCTCCCGGAGGGAGGCGATGGAGAATTAACGAGCGCGGATCTGAAGCCGCAGGAGTGGACAGGAGCCATCAACTCTCCGGGGTCAGCTGGGTCTCAATGTCCACTCTGCAGATGGGACACTTCCTGCTGGTGGCCAGCCACTGATCCACACACGCCTGGTGAAAGAGGTGCATGCAGGGTAATCTCCTGGAGAGAGAGGGGAAAAAACATGTTCAGGATTTTAAAATAAATCAAATATAATTTGATCATATCTTGAATTTTGCAGGTAAGTTGTTTTTCCTCCTAAGCCACTTATTTTCTCAGGATAATATGATAATATGAAGTTAGAATCAGATTATCTACTTTTACTGACGTAATGCAACATTATATTTAGTCATATGTGAATTTTCTTGTTTTTCTGTGCATTTCTTTGCAACTAAGTCACATAAATAAGTAAGTTTCTTTCATAGCTATAATATCACACCTATTTCAGAGTTATTAACAGTCACAAATGTATTTTGATCATTACTTAAGTATTTGAGGATAAAAGATCTTTGGATCTACCGGTAGATCTTTTCTGTTTGAGTTTTTGTCTCATGTATGTATGAATATATATATTTTTTTTTTTAAATATACAGTAGTCACTCGTTTATTGTGGTGGATTCGTACCCTAGGAAAAAAAATTCTTATCTAAAGCTTAAGTTTTATCTGGTCTGGTAGAATGAAGCTGGTATCCTTCCCATGCATAAACGTTTCCACCACCTGTTAAAATTATTTGATACGGGGACAATTCGTTACGCCACTAAGACATTCTGCTTAACTACATCACACAGTTTGTTCCTCAGCTTGATTCTATTCACGTTTGTACATTTGTCTGGTTATGCCACACAACCGTGTACACCAAGTTGAGATGAATTAAACTAAACTCTTAAGGATTATTAATTATCATTTGAAAATGTCACCTTATCAATGATAACCATAACCCTTTAGCCGATTATCTCAGTTATGAGAAGGTGGAAAATAAAAACACTGTTAAAAGTATTTACCATTTTATTGCTGACAAATAAAATATTGTATAAACGAAATGAACCAAAATGGGTTGAAACAGCTGTTTCACGCTGGCTTGATTACACCAAGTCAACAGACGTTTAATCTTAGAGAACCGAGTGATGTATGGTCCTGTCGTACCCGGTATTTAACTTTTCTAGGCTCGATCCAGTTGTTGGGCTGTGGCTCAAATTTGACACCAAAATGCATCTCAAGTGACCTCTTGAGATCAAATTTCGCTCATCGTCATTGTCAATTTATTTATATAGCACATAAACACAACAAAAGCTGAACAAAGTGCTTTACAATTTAGTCAAATTAAACTCATTAAAACTAATTAATTCAAATTAATTAATTCAAACGCTCCACAACTCATTTAATTTCCACGAGGAAACCATGACTGCTGCTAAAAAGGCAATTTTCTACTTTCAATGTAGCATTTAAGTTTGACTGAGACATAAAAAGTAGTGAACTTTGGCCACTTTTATTAACCAGTTGAACAAAACAAAAGCTTGTTTTGTCAGAAGATGGGTCATAAATAACTAGAGAAATTGCATTTCCTGCAAAAATGCAGCGCGAATGCATATTGCAGAAGAACTTGCAGAAAAACAGATGAAATTAGCTAAAAAAAATTCTGAATTGTAGATGAAATGTAAGAACAGGCCTAAATTAGCAGAAAGGACAAATATTTGCTGAATTAGGTTTCAAGAAGCAGAAATGAGCACAAAAATTAAGAAATTAGCTAAAAAAGGCTGAAATTAGCAAAAAAAATAGCTGAAATGTAGCTGAAAAGGCAAAAAGAAGCTTAAACTACCATAAGGAAGTGGAAAGAGCTAAAATGAGCTAAAAAAATGTGGAATTAGCTGAAAAGGCTAAAATTAACATAAAACAGCTAAATAGTAGCTGAAATAGCAGAACAAGCAGAAACTAGGATATAAAAGCTAAAAGAAGTGGATATTATCTGGAAAAAAGCTGAAATTAGCAACAAAAAAGGCAAAAAGGAGCTGAAATTACTAGAAGGAAGTGGAAAGAGCACATTTTTGCTGAATTTTGGTGAAAAAAGTTGAAATGTGTGCAAATGTGAAATTAGCTGAAAAAGCTAAGATTAGCATAAAACAGCTAAATAGTAGCTGAACTAGAAGAAATAGTTGAAATTAGCATAGTTAATAAGCTGAAAGGTGCATAACAAGCTGAAATCAGCATAAATAAGTTAATTAGGCTGAACGTAGCAGAAATTACCATGAAAAACTTGAATTTATTTGAAAACAGACAAAATTGGCTAAAAAATGCTAAAAAGTTATAACAAGCTTAAATTAGCAGAAGAAAGTAGAAAGAACACGTTTGCCCAATTGTGCTGAAAGAAGCAGAAATGAGCACAAAAAAGTAGAAATTATCTGAAGGCTGAAATGAGGGGAAAAAAAGTCAGCTGAAAAGTAGCTAAAAAAGCAGAAAGAAGCTGAAATTACCAGAAGGAAGTGCAGAGAGCACTTTTTTGGCCAAAATAGGCTGAAAAAAGTTGAAATAAGTGCAAAAAATATGGCATTAGTCAAAAAAGCTAAAATTAGCATAAAACTGCTAAATAGTAGCTAAAATAGCAGAAAAATCTGAAACTTGCAGAAATGAGCTGAAAGGAGCACAAGAAGCTGAAATTAGCAGAAAGAAGTTAGAAGAAGCTACTCCTAACTGAAGCTGAAAATCAGCTTAAAGTAGCTGAAAGTAGTTGAAAAAAAATTAAATTTGCACAAGGAAGCTAAAAGAAGCTGAACCGGAACAAAATACGAAAGGAGCGGTAAAAGGTCGTAATCAGAGCCGAGTAAAATGAGCTCAATTAATTTTCTATGAGAAAACAAGTGGCAGAAAAGGTTAAATATTTCAAAAATCTAAAGTTGCACCAATACCAAAACTCATAACACCTTTCTCCTGAAAGAGCTGAACGTTTTGATCTATGACTTGTTGAAATAGCACAAACATTGTGGAACGGGAAAGATGCTGAAAAATTTACAGAAGAAAAATGGATCACAATAGTGAATCCTTCATAACAATCACACAATAAACTCCCAAGATTTGCACAGCTGTGTGCACTGTTAATATTTGCATAACTAGAGCTTCTTCTATATATATAAAAAAAAAAAAAGTAACAAGAAAAGAGAGAAGCAAAAAGCTGCACCTGACATCCTCGCCATCTTCCAGCATCGACAGACAAATGGTGCACTTTTCATCTGTGTCCAGCTCCTCATCATCCAGACACAACTTCAGGTCTTGGGGTATTCTCTGCAGAGATAACCACAGAACAGCAAACAGACTTGAATTTTTCAGGAAGCGGTGCCGATGCCTCAGGGGTTTCTGAGTCAGCCAAGTCTGGATTTAAAAAAAAAAAAACCTCTCACCTAATCATCTATTCTAGAGAAGAGAAAATGCAGCAAATGTTCCAGCACTCTTCCCACAGTATTTAGGTCAAATTCAGTGCAGACGTTTGTTTAAATTCATTCCACGTTCATATCTGCAGACAGCAGGATGAGTCATCCCTCACCTCCAACTGGCAGCGCTGCAGCTTCGTCTCATTACTTTTCAAACAGAAGTTTGACCTTTGAACTACGGTATAAGTCATGACTTTCCTCTTTGATCCCTCTGGCCTGGCAGCGCTGCCTTTCGCCATTTCTTTTCTTCACATTTCCTTTGACTTATTTCTTGCCCGGTGCTTTGTCAGAAAGACTTCTACCCAGTCCTACCTTTTTGTACTTGTGGGGGAAAGTGAATCTCTCGATGATAGCTTGGACGGCTCCACGGTTCACACTGCCCAGTCTATCCTCCAACTGCAGAAGCTCCTGTGACAAAAACAAAAGAATTTCTAAGAAAATGTCTCATTTTTGTGATTTCTTTTCTCACAGAGAAATAACAAAATAACACAAACATAACAATTGTCATGAAATTAAAGGCAGACTGGTGTTTTGAAGCATTTGGAACCAAAAATAATTAGATATAAGAGAATCAGTTACACACTTGAGCTTGTCCAGACCATTGGTCACTGACAATTAATTGCATTTGCAATAATATCGCGATACGATAAATTGAGATTTTCTAATCGCAAAGGCTGCAATTTGACTGGTCACGTGATCTGGTTACGTGACTTGCGAGTGAGCGGAGCAAAGCAGAGCAGGAGAAGTCAACACTCGCTTTAACTGGTTGCACAATGGCATCAGGCTTGACAGAAGCTGATACATCTGAAAGTTTGGTACCAAAGAGGGGCAGCACGTCCGTTGTTTGGAATTATTTTAGCTATAAAAAAGAAGACGTTGCGCAACCACAAATCTTTATCAACACTTAAAAAACAACAAAGTCCATGCTCAATAATCCAGGTATACAATCCAACATTTTTCAGTCAGGTCATCTGGACAGTTTCTTTTTTAGTGCTGAAACGTTTCGTCTTCGATCCGGAAGGCTTCATCTTCCGGAATCATCATCCGGAAGGCTTGTATTCATGGATTATTGAGCATGGACTTGGTTGTTTTCAACCAGTTTGACACGACTGTCAACAAGGAAAAGGGCCGGCAATGGAGGAGGGGGCGTGCCAAAGAGACCATCTTAGCACCAACATAGCTGGTTTGTTCCTCTTTGGAGTAAGCTGTTGGGAGAAGAATCAGTTTTGTTGTGTGTTTCCTTGACTGATGAAGCCTTCTGGATCGAAGGCGAAACGTTTCAGCACAAAAAAAGAAACTGTCCAGAAGACCTGACTGAAAAATGTTGAACACTTAAAAAAATCACCACAAAGCCATTTACGATAGTTTCATGGGTAAAATGCCAACGACCAGTGCTTCAACTTCAAGTAAGCAAAGTACCAGCTGACAGGGATCACTGACCAAACTGTTTGAAGGTGTTACTCCATATGAACATAATTCGAAATGGCACGCAGAAAAAACTCTAGCAATAACAGAGTTCATAGCAAAAGACAGGATGCCCATTAATATAGTGACCAAGCCTGGGTTTACAGCTTTGGTAAACACAACGGACAAGCGGTACAGAATGCCCTCACGCACACATTTTAGTCAAATTGCTATCCTGGAGCTATACAAAAAATGCAGAAACAGTTGCAGCGGAGCTGAAAACAGTGAAGTATTTTGCAACTGAAACAGAATGATTTACTGCTTGTGCTTGTTGAAAAATACATGAGAAGATGACGTTGAAAAATAATTGCATATTAAACCGCAGTCACAATATTGAGGTAAAAAATTTTCTATTAGAATATTTTCCAAAATCGTTCAGCCCTATTGGTCACAGATACAAGGATGGTAAATTAGACTGGTGTGTCTGCAGAAACGAGCGAGGGCAAAGCTGCACAGACCTCGTAGCTCTCTCTGACAGCAGAGGCGTGGCGGGAAGGGTTGAGACTTTGCAGAGCCAGCAAGTGCAGTTGGGGATACGGGTAGTTTCTGATCTCATGGACAACCTGGGAAATGACAGAGAAAAGAGGCTGCAGAAATCAAACAAAACAACAAAGACACAGGCCATCCTTGCTTTGGGGGGTAAATATAAGGACGCCAGAAACAAACACCTCAAAACGAACAGGTCTGATTGTACAAGGAAGGTGGGGAGGCTCACCACTTGTGTTGTTGAGGCGTTGTTTCTAGGAAAGTGGTGCATCCTGGGGGAGGTCAAGTAGTGCTGATAGTGCTGCGGTAGCGGGTGGATGTGATACTGGTGAGGGTGCAGTCCAGCATCTACGCTCAGATCCCTGCACGGAATCAGCCAGAGGCACACAAGTACACATATTACAGGCTGCACTGGAAATTAGTTTGTTGGCAGATTCTTGTTAATATATATCTAGATTATAAAAAAAACTAAAATATTTGTAAAAAAAAAAAATGTTTGATTTAAACTACTAAATAACTTTTGAGTTTCTGAAGTAAGTTTAGTTATAAACAGAAACTTCTAGAAATGCTAAAAGAAATTTATAAAGCTGGTGGATATAAAAGTAAATTGTACAGATTGAATGCATATTTAATAAACAGCCAAGACCATTTATTTTCATACAGTTTCTGAGTGCGTCGAATTTTATTGTGTGTTTTATACGACGACAATTAACAAAAATGTGTTCTCCTTTGCGAACCGGAGCTGCAGGAAATGAGTCCAATCTTGATCCAACTTTGTAAAGTTTCTTTACTTAAGCTCATTTTATAAACAGACTATTATATAAAAAAAAAAAATCAACCAATTTTTTTTACTGGAAGAAATACTTGAAACATCATTTCATTGAATGACTTGTGAACTTGAAAACAAAAAATGATGAGAGCCAAACTTCATTTTTAAAAAGATAGTTTTGTTTTTATAGTTTTAAAACAACCGCTATATACAGTGCCTTGTGAAAGTATTCGGCCCCCTTGAACTTTTCAACCTTTTGCCACATTTCAGGCTTCAAACATAAAGATATAAAATTTTAATTTTTTGTGAAGAATCAACAACAAGTGGGACACAATCGTGAAGTGGAATGAAATTTATTGGATGTGTCAAACTTTTTTAACAAATAAAAAACTGAAAAGTGGGGCGTGCAATATTATTCGCCCCCCTTGCGTTAATACTTTGTAGCGCCGCCTTTTGCTGCAGTTCCAGCTGCAAGTCTCTTGGGGTATGTCTCTATCAGTTTTGCACGAGAGACACTGAAATTCTGTCCATTCTTTCTTGCAAAACAGCTCGAGCTCAGTGAGGTTGGATGGAGAGCGTTTGTGAACAGCAGTCCTCAGCTCTTTCCACAGATTCTCGATTGGATTCAGGTCTGGACTTTGACTTGGCCGTTCCAACACCTGGATACGTTTATTTGTGAACCATTCCATTGTAGATTTGGCTTTGTGTTTTGGATCATTGTCTTGTTGGAAGATAAATCTCCGTCCCAGTCTCAGGTCTCTTGCAGACTCAAACTGGTTTTCTTCCAGAATGGTCCTGTATTTGGCCCCATCCATCTTCCCATCAATTCTGACTCTCTTCCCTGTCCCTGTTGACGAAAAGCAGGCCCAAACCATGATGCTGCCACCACCATGTTTGACAGTGGGGATGGTGTGTTCCGGGTGTTGCTTTTACGCCAAACATATTGTTTTGCATTGTGGCCAAACAGTTTGATTTTGGTTTCATCTGACCAGAGCACCTTCTTCCACATGTTTGGTGTGTCTCCCAGGTGCTTGTGTCAAACCTTAAACAACACTTTTTATGGATATCTTTGAGAAATGGCTTTCTTCTTGCCACTCTTCCATAAAGGCCAGATTTGTGCAGTGTACGACTGATTGTTGTCCTATGGACAGACTCTCCCACCTCAGCTGTAGATCTCTGCAGTTCATCCAGAGTGATCATGGGCCTCTTGGCTGCATCTCTGATCAGTCTTCTCCTTGTTCGAGATGAAAGTTTAGAGGGACGGCCTGGTCTTGGTAGATTTGCAGTGGTCTGATACTCCTTCCATTTCAATATGATTGCTTGCACAGTGCTCCTTGGGATGTTTAAAGCTTGGGAAATCTTTTTGTATCCAAATCTGGCTTTAAACTTCTCCACAACAGTATCTCAGACCTGCCTGGTGTGTTCCTTGGTCTTCATGATGCTCTCTGTGCTTTGAACAGAACTCTGAGACTATCACAGAGCAGGTGCATTTATACAGAGACTTGATTACACACAGGTGGATTCTATTTATCATCATCAGTCATTTGGGACAACATTGGATCATTCATAGATCCTCACTGAACTTCTGGAGTGAGTTTGCTGCACTGAAAGTAAAGGGGCCAAATAATATTGCACGCCCCACTTTTCAGTTTTTTATTTGTTAAAAAAGTTTGGCACATCCAATAAATTTAATTCCACTTCACGATTGTGTCCCACTTGTTGATTCTTCACAAAAAATTAACATTTTATATCTTTATGTTTGAAGTCTGAAATGTGGCAAAAGGTTGAAAAATTCAAGGGGGCTGAATACTTTTGCAAGGCACTGTATATATATATATATATATATGCAAATCTTGCATTTACCCTCTTCTTCTCTTAGCCACAAAGGCACAAATCAAACATTTTCCATAACACTTTTTGGGTTTATTCACTCATCTGCAGTCTATAATTTATATGGATTGTGATGAATAAAAATCCCAATACAACAGTATTCCTACTGTCGTTGCAATTACAGTGAGCAAATACCAATATTGCAAGACTGCAACAAATCAAGGACCATAGTATTCATGTTCTGCAACTTATATCACACATTTCAAGCTTTTCTAATTTTGTGCAGCTCTAGATTCAAGAAAGTGTTACATAGTTTTTGAAATATCCGAGATGAATTCTCGATGTGCTGCTCACCAGTCTGTGCCCTCAGCCAGGTAGCGAGGCTGCTGCACAACTGGCTGAGGTGGGACGTGAAGCGGGGGTCCAAACTCGTAGCCAGGTCTCAGTCTGTGGGGCTGGTGAGGAACTCTCTCTGGGGTGCGTCTACTGAGACAAACAACCAAGCATTTGAAAACACCCTAGAAAAAGAGGAGTGACCTTAAAGTTGAAGCCAGGACCAAACTTCTGAGGTTTGTGTCTGTGTCACGCTGCAGGTGGGTGTGGGTACCTGGAGGGTGGCAGGATGTGTCGGTGCTGGGCCTCGAGGATCTGCTGCTGGAGGAGGTATTGCTGGTGTAATGCCTGAGGTAGGAAGGGAGGGGCGTGGATGTCCTGGAACTGGGGAGCTGGCAGGGGGTTGAGGGGCGCGTGGAGTGGAGGGCCATGCTGGTGGCCTGGGGATACCAGGTGGGGGTTAATGCCTGACTGTGGCTGCCCTGGGTGGGGCATTGGAAAGTCCATGGGCAGCGGGGCCTGAGGCCCTAACTGGAAGTGCCTGCAGGAGGTAGCATGGCTGTACTGCTGCTGCCGGTTAAAATGGGATCCTGCGGAGGATAAGGACAAGTTGTCAGGAGTCAGACAGGGAGAAGGGGGGGTGAAATGAGCTGAAATTGTGGGTGAAATGTTGTGTCAGTGTGTGACAGCATGTTAATGAAGCCCTACCTCTTACATAGAGTGAAAAATACTTCTGTGGGGGTGGGAAATGATGGTTACAAGTACCATGAAAATGACAAGCACCTTTTGGTCCTGCACACAAAACGCGAACTTTCCTTTCTTTATCTGTATTTCCAACACCCGGATGGACTCCTTTTCTTCCGATTCAGACAGAGGAGCCGATGAACTCGACCAGTGTTCAAGTGAGGCGTCCAATGCAGCTCACATCTCCTATAATCTGCATCTGACAGCAGGTCAGTGCCGTCAGTGATGAACATTACCTTCACGTCTGCGCGACACAAATGACACTTTTTCTGTTCTACACCGTCACTACAAACTTTGGTTTCATTTTATTCTAAAACAATGTAATCTCTTTGTTTTAAACACCAAGAATGGCTCTTCTTCCACAGGAACATTCAGGAGTGGAGAGGAAATACTTTTTAAAACTCCCCAGCCACAGTTATTTAGCAGTTACAGCAAACGGTCTGTCTGGATCCAACAGTGTGGACAAACAGGCAGTGGAGCTTGTGCTGTGGTGCAATAAGGTTTCTTTGTTTTATTGTAGAACAACTACGAAGTTACAAAAGGGAAATCATGCCTAAATTAACACCCCCCCCCCCCTTTTTTTAGGAAATATCTGCCAAATTAAACCGTATGGAGTAAAGGAAATGAGTTAATACTGTTTTGACATTTTACAACCTAATGAAACCCAAAATGTGCAAAAACTTTGAAAACATCACGTTTCTTCGTTGACAGATGTGAATTCTTATAAAAATAAATCACTAAGGAAATAGGCCAAGTCTACATTGCATTTACTGGGAGCCTGCTTGGAAAAAAAAACGCAGTACGACTTTTAAACAGCCAGCAAAGATAAGCAGTAAGGCTTTTCCAAAAATAAAATTTGAACTCGTCAGTATCTAGATAGGCAGACAAGAGAAGTTACTCGCCGCCATGGGGAGGGGGGTAGGTCAAAGCTTGGGTCTAGACTGCAAGTGACACACTGCGTTTTTAAAGCGACTTCAGTAAAAACGATCACCATGAATGACAGCAGATAGACTCATTCAGGCTCTGTGATGGAGGAAGCGTGGAAATTGTCTATCTTTGTCATAGCAAGAGAGGAGGTGGTTGGGGGGAGTGGAGGGAGAGGGAGGGAGGGGGTCGGGTAGGGACAAGGCAAAGGGGGGGAGGTGTTTCGGGGTGGGACAATAAATGGAAATCAGCAAGAAGCACACTGAAGGTTAGGATAAACACTATTCTTTATTGAAAAATATTAGTATATGTGAAATTCGTGTCTTTTTTTCTTGTTTTGTTTGTAATAATAATAGTATAAATCCATGCAACAAAAACTAAACAACATAGATTGAAGGCAAGGCCCACCATGCTCCATATAGGGTTAAAATAAGAACAAAAGCAGCATCCAATGAGCAGACGTGTTGGCTACAGCACATGATTTCAGTACAGCAAGGGTACATCTTTACTACAGAAAGATTACATTGATTTTCACTAGTCAATGTAGAAAAAAACAACATAAAACAAATCATGAATCATAAATGTGACCATGCACTGAAAAGTACTATTACCAAAACAAAAAAAAAGGTAAATAGAGACCACAACCAAACAGAGACGTTATTACTAATAAGAGGATCTCTTTAGCAGTGCAGGAAAATAGGCATCCCTGTGAAATGGATAGCATTTTGGCCTTATGTTAGTGGGGGTAAAACTGTGATGAATCACCAGTGAGCATGTTTTCCTGCTTTATAATTAAAGAATTTAACGTGCCCATGAGGGCCAGACAGCCCTGACAAGTCAGTGTGATTCAAAGCTTAAAATTTGCAAAAGGGAACGAAAAGATTACACAAAAATGGAGACAGTTATGGCAGGTTGCTGTGCGCAGGTGCAGTGTACTTTAAGTCATGACGGGGGGGAATAAAATGGCATGCATAGGATTTCAATTTGCATGTATTTATAAATTTGGTGTTTTAATTAAAAGTCACTTTGGTAACGTACATTGCACCTTGTGTGAAGAGAAGGATGAGCCGAATTCTGGTGTTCAACAATGCAGTGCAGAGCTTGAGATCATGCAAAATGTATCCACTTTACAGGAATTTACAGCATGTTGTCTAACAAGACTGGATGGGAGGTACACAATGACATTCAACTGATAGTCTAGAAAAGAAGCTAAAATGTTTTTCAACTTAGTGCTACAGCAATTTGACAGAAAAAAAGACAAATTAAAAAAAAAAAGGTGCTGTGTTCTAGGTGTTAGCTGTAGTTTTAGTCTGCTTAACATAAACAATCTATGTCTGAACACATCTTGGGAAAGGGGTGCTTTTAATACCAATGCCGTCTTCTGATGAAAAGAGGAAATGAAGAAGGGATTCACAATACAGCTAAATGCAGAGAACAGGCAGAGGCCACGCCACACCACACAGCAGCAGATGATCATTAGCTACACAATGGGGGGGACGACAAAGATCTGATAAATGCAGAATGTAGAGCCAGCCTCCATACTATGAAACAGGGAAATAAGAACAGAAATAAAAGCACAATGAAATCACTGATGCCACTGTTGTGAAATTAATGTTACACTGTAGCTTCATCTATGTATTACTATGCCCGCACTATTCATGTGTGTGCTTCAGTTCTGCAGCTTCAAACAAGCAGCTGCTGCTTTGCCAATTAGAAAAACAAAATTTAAAAAAAAAAAAAGGAGAGACGAGAAAACCTGATTGATCAGGGAGCAGCATCGATTAGTACCATTTAGCACTGGTGGCAATTAGTAAAATCGCATTGGAAGTCGGCGGCAGCAGCGGATGATCTTCAAATGACATCATCCAGGCACAGATAAGCTGACTGACGGAAGGGGCTACGTCTATTTTGCGGCATTTTAACGCAAGTAAGCGACACTTTCGAGCACAACAGTGGTTGAAAAAAAAAAACATTTCCATACTACAATGAAAAATGCATCGCAATACACCACTTTGTAGGACAACTGTTTGAGCAGGAATGTGTCTTTGTGTGTCAGGCATTTATCGCACCGCCACACTCCAAGCATGCGGAAGCCTTTGTGAGAAATGTTTCCGTTCCAGGACGTAGCCTGGACCGAGAAGGAGCCAGTTAGCATTTCAGTAGCAAGGACATTTTTTTTTTTTTCCTTCTTTCATTAATAAAATAGATATTCCGCGCAAATATACATTGGAAAAAAAAGAAACTTACTTCGTTTGGTAAAGGCTTGTCAATGTGTAGCGAAGTCAAACTGAAGGATTAACGCAGTTTGTGCAATTTTGTGAACGGACTTCCCGATATATTTGTAAGGAAGCTAACATTAGCTAACGCGACGGTGCAACAGCTGCAGTGAATATTAAGATAAACAGGGCACATTTATTTTTTTTTTAAATCGATGTATTAATTAATACCGTACCTCTGTTTCTTACTGAGCCGAAAACGGGAAGAACCAGATATCCTACATGCACTAACACCATCCTGGGATCCGTATGTTATGGTTAAGCCGGGTTATTTGGAGGTGGAGCGGATCTACATTCAGGCGGCTGGTTGTTGCTGGCTAATCTAACGACTGTCTGCCTCCTCGGCTGCTGGTTGTTGCTGCTGACAAAAGCAGACATGTCATTTGACGTCCCGAGCAAAAGAGGGCGATGTTGCACAACTACAGCTGCAAGTATCTCAAGGTTAACCTGTCCGAGTCTGTCAGTTCATTTGACTTATTACAGCATATTCATACAAGTCAAATCCACTAAATAACCAAAGCTTTTCTGTGTCACAAACAGGCACTGAACTAAAAGGAATTACCATCAAGTGTTTCATACATAAAGTGTTGCTGTGTTGCACAGTAAAGGTTACACACAGAAATGAGGTGGTTCTCATCCAACAGCTTTAATTCTAAAAACACGTTTACAGTATAAACACAAATGAGACAGCCACTATCAATGTGTGCTGAACATCTTAATATTAATAAACACCTGCTATGTTTCTTATTTTGAATGTTCAGAAAATACCTTTGGGTTCAGCATTACTTTTATACTGTAAATAAAGCTGTAGTTTCTATACATACATACTTAAATAT